CACGAAGAACTTGGCTACTTTCACGGCGGTCCCCGACGGGAGTGCTTTTGTCTCGGCGTACCTGGTGAGATAATCAGTTGCCACGATTATCCACCGGTTTCCCTGCGTCGACGACACGCTGGACCGGTTGCGCCGCTCCCGATACTTTTCGTCGATGGACCTTAAGAGTGGCTACTGGCAGATCGAAGTCGACGAACGAGACCGAGAAAAGACTGCCTTCGTCACGCCCGACGGACTGTTTGAGTTCAAGGTGATGCCCTTCGGACTGTGCACGGCGCCGGCAACGTTCCAACGTGTCATGGACACCGTCCTGGCAGGCCTCAAGTGGCAGAGCTGTCTCGTTTACCTCGACGACGTGGTATTCTCGACCAACTTCGACGAGCATTTGCGACGCTTTCGTGCCGTTTTTGAGGCAATCAGGACCGCAGGACTCACCTTTAGGCCGACGAAGTGCCGGTTTGCCTACGGCGAACTGAAGTTCCTGGGCCACGTTGTGAGCAACGAAGGTGTAAGTCCTGACCCTGAGAAAACTCGCGCCGTAGCGGCCTTTCCACCGCCCACCGACAAAACGGCCGTCCGAAGGTTCCTTGGACTTTGCGCATACTACCGGGTGCGGAGTACCGCATGCCCATGCAGCGTTCCCTTCCAAGAGCCCGCAGTGCAAGTCCGGTTCCAAGCCCAGTGAGAAGACCACTCCCCGCGGAACCCGAAACTCGGACCAGCCGGCGCATCAAGAGAGAGGTTCTTGAATACGGTTCGTTACTGCACAAGTTCCCCACATTAAACGTTTATTTATTCCTGTTTATTTCTTGTTTATTGCTCACCACCCGTGACATTTTGGTGGAGGTGCGGGGTACAAAACGCGGGCAGCTGCTTATCTACCGTGCGTCACTAATTTGAAAGTTCGGCAAAGAAGGTTCGAGCGTCGCGCGCTCGGGGCGAGGATGAACTGGCACTTTCGAGAATAACAAAGCAGAGGGAAAGTTATGTCTGCTGCGAGGATGACTGGGAATCTTCTAGAAGACCGTGACCAAGCGTTGCCTTCTCGGCTCTGCGGGCGGCAATGTCTATATTCTATATTCACACCTTCCAAACAAATCGAGGTGATTGGGCCAAAATAAAGCATCCCGCCAAAACAAAAATTCTAGCCAAACGGGCATATAGACAAATTGGAGATTCTAGCCAAATCGGGCAGTCAACAAATTCAAAGCGTTTTGCCGAATTGTTTTGTTTGTTTGTTTGTTTTTCAGAAAAATTGAGCCATCAGCCAAACGAATACCTCAGCCTGATCTATACCCTAATACCCACAGCCTCAGTCATGTAGATTCCAAGTACCGAAGCACTCCCCCTCCCCAACCTTCTGGCCCCCAAATTCCTGGTTATAGAATTTGCTTCTTAAGCCTGTTGTCTTTGTCTTGTTGCAGTTCAGACCGCGCACTGTTATGATTATTTGTTTCCGCGCGAGGCTTGAGCGCACGCTATTTTTCTCATTGGGATAATTGTAACAAATACTATGTTCCCCGATTATGTTCCCCGACCATTCTGGGTAACATTACCGGTTTTATATTGTGCACAATCAAGCTTTCTCTAATTTGATTCGTGTAATTTCCGGTGGACACGTCCGTTCTATCGCCATCTCGTTTCTTTGTTTACCTCGAAGCAAATGACCGCTCATTAAATCATTTTTGTTGGAACGCCTGCCTCTACTATTTCATCTGCGCGACAATAATAATTATATTTTGCGCGTGCAGAATCTGAGAAATATATTTGGTCATCGCAAAAGTCTTATTCGTCATTTTAGTGGTTGAAACTAAAGCACGAAAGAAGAATTGAAGGATGTAGTGGTAAAATTGTAAAAGAAATAAAAATAAACACTTGCAATATGTGCATGTAATTTTCACTCCATCAAATATATATTAACAAAAAGATAGATCCATTGTATACGTCATCCAACATGCAGTGCACTCTGCTTCGACACGTAGCAAAAAAGGAGGCTGTGGCAGTTTGCACCCTTGATTGCGTCATGAATAAAAAATAAACAGATTGTGGTCATAGTTCCTTGCCACGCCTAATGCATTCCCGGTATATAAGAAAGAAAGAAACCTCCTGGTGGTATAGACTACGTGTCATTCGTTGTACTAAGAGAGAGCTACGAAGATGTTCACACTGAAGTTCTTTATTCTCTTCGTACTCGCTGTATTATGTTTTGGTAAGAATATGCCATTTTGTCTTTCTTGTTAGCAAATATTTCCATTTCGCTTACTTTCGTTTACAGCTCACTGGATTTGTTCCCTTTGTATATTTTTACACATTTCCAGGTTTCTTAGATATACAGGGTGTCACAAAAGAAAATTTACACGGTCTGTTTTACCGGAAACATAAACTAGGCATCGCCGGACGCTCATTCTCCGCCCAAAGGTAGCAATAGAGGTCACAACCAGATGCCAAAGTTTCAGCCCGATCCGATAACTTAATCAAAAGTTATAAACGATTTTCTGAAAATTTCAATGGGAAAATGGCGGCCGACGGAGTTTTCAAACACATGGGGCTCTATGGCACCAGAAACCGAAAACAGGCAAAAATGGGCTCCATTTTCCCATTGAACTTTTCAGAAAATCGCTTATGACTTTTGATTAAGTTATCGGATCCGGCTGAAACTTCGGCATCTAGTTGTGACCTATAGCTCTACCTTTGGGCGGAGAATGAGCGCTCGGCGATGCCTAGTTTATTTTCGCGGTAAAAAAGACCGTGTAAATTTTCTTTTGTGACACCCTGTACTTCCAATGGGATGTAGCATATGAATCGTGGAAACACAATATCCGCTTTGTAGCAGCAAAACTGAAACGTATAGCTATCACTGGAGCTTAAATGGCTAGATCGGGCACTTTTTTTTCTTTTAACATATAGAACGCTACCAAATTAAATGTACTACTCTACAGCATAGTTTTCCACATAATAGTGGCTACCTACAGCTTCCTATCATATATTCCTTCGGAAATACCTTAGAAAAAAAAGTTGGGCCTCGAATCCACGCTGTGAAAGCGGTTGGCCAGCGAAGCTGTGGTATCACCTGCAACGATTGCCCACTGCACCGTACCAAAAGATTGATGAAAGAAAAGTAAATGCACACTACCAAAACTTTTTTATATATGTGAAAAACTTCGTCCTCTGCCGCTGCCGCGGCAGCTTATGAAACCATTCTCTTTACCGCGAAACGCATGCGGGGAGCGCTACGTGCTTCGTAATGTTGACGCGCGCCTTAGCATCTATCATGTGGTTTTGACACTAGTTCTGTGGCTTTCTTATTGAAACAAGTGTCAAAGCCATATGGTGGATAATAAGGCACACGCGAACGATGCTAAGGTGCGCGTGATGGTTTTTAGTCGACTACTGTTCTGTCGACGGAAAAAAAAGATATCCGACCAACGAGTCATATACAGCTTCGCTGTAGAACTTTATCCTTCAGATTTGGCCTGCCTCTGCACCCATGTAATAGTGAGTGTCATCTAACAATGGCAAAAAAGGTTTTTTGTCATTGTTAACTGTCGTTCGCCTAACCACAGTTAAAACGGCTCGTGTAACTAGGGTATAACCTACGTATCGAGCATAACCGGGAAGTAGCCTGTGCTTATGAAACAACTCATTCCCTAAATACAGTCGCAAGTCATTTCGACTTACTGTTCTCACATCTGTACTGTATTGCACTGATCACCACCTATAAACGAAAGAAATTATATCAAGAGAAGTAGTCAAAGCCAGTTAATTTCTCATTGTGAGACATGGTAACATAATTCTAAAGCATATAAAAGCATTTTCGACTATTTAATACTTTTCGTTACCCTCGAAAAGTGTATAAATAAAACCCTAGGGTTATATGCTCTAATTAAAAAGTAAGAAATTGAAGTTACTTATCGTGACGATTAACACCTGTTAAAATATATCCTTCTTAATAAAATTAGCGCAAAGACAAGGGAGGAAGAACGTAGAGACAAGGATAGAGCGCTAATTTTACCAAGATGTATAACCAACAAGCCCACCGGATGATTTTAATATAGAATATCCCCTTGACCGCGTAACTCATATGCACAGACCGCGTTTGCATAGCTCTGGCTGCTTTTTTTAACACACTGTAAAGCCTAAATAACACCTTGTATAAATCATGGCTCGATCAAAACTCGTAAATTCCACCTTTTCGCATTTTATTTGTGCGCCTCACTTGCCCGTGGGAGCGGTAACGACGGTGTCGCTAGGATCTCTATCCGCCCATATTTTCTCGCGTGCGGGTAACGGACAAGTTCTACTTTCAAACGACGTTCTTCTGTGGGGCTAGTGAAATTATCAATCTAAGAACATTAATTATAAACAGAGACGCGTTCCAGGCACAACCGCTAAACTGCTTGCAAGGCAAGTCAATTCACTTTTTTTTTAATTGTGGCTTCTAGAGGTTCTGTGGCGAAAAATGTGTTCACGTTTCATGAACTCACGAGCGACCATGAGAGGCTTTCAATCAAGAGGCTCAATGCAGCTCTCGTGGTGTGCACACGTGTTCACTGTCCAAAGCTCTCAAGCCGGCAATTTCTGAAAATTGTAAATCCTTTTGATTGTGTCCTGACTGCAGCCCGTCTGGAAGCCCCTGGGAAACATATCGCCTACAAATGTCATTCTGCCACACTTTTAGATACCACGGCTAAGAATTTGATGATTGGAGTAAACAGCCCCATAATGCAAAAGATGACATCCGTGAAGTCATACCACAGGCGTCTTTTCATCGAATGAATGCACTGCCTAATCCTGTTTTAGGTGTTCTTGCGAGATTTGTTGGGTTTCATCAGTCAACGGAAAATATTTTATGCACAGCACATTTATTAGCGTACAACTTCAACTAAGAACTAGATTTAGTCTGCTCCGCCACCTCAGAACCTCCTTCGTTTCTCTTCAAATTAATGTTTGAGAATATGGTTTATTCATGGTTTATGGAATGTTTACGTTTCCTTTTTCAGGTTCTGGGAACGGTGAAGGTGAAGCTAAACCATCTGGAGCAGGTAATTTATTATTTCCACTTCCATCTTCTGTTTTCAATTTATAAACATTTTATGAAGCGCTTTCAACAGTCAGTCACTGGCAAATAGTTCTTTGTTTCTGTCCTATTCTTGCATTGTCTTTTTTATGACTGCTGCAATAAGTATTATGCATTACTTAGTGACAATCATACCCCGAACTTAACAATTAAAAATGGTGGAATTTAATATTGACGCCTATGAAGAATGCTACGTGTGAACATTATTAATTTTGAATATGAAAAAGAACCGATTAGACAACCACCTCTGTTTCTACTTAAATTGGGCATGAAGCGAAAGTTAGAAAAGTGCGGGCCATCCGAAATAAGTGTGAATAGCGTAAGTGTTCAATGTCCATCACCTCAACACTGGAATGCACAGAATGCCGAAATACATACACATAAAATGCCGTACAAAGTAAAAGTATTTGCAGGTTCTGACACTTTCAGAGGCCAATGTCTTCAATATAACAGACGCCATTTCGAACTATATGTCCTCAGCCGGTGTCGATTTTAGGGTATTTTACCCTATAAAAACATCACACATATCGGTTTGGACAAAATAGGTTAAATTTAGTACGTTCATCCTCTTCTTTGCCTCAACACACAGAAGTGGAAATTAATAATCCAGATATGGTATGATACTAATATATTTTAAGGTTCAAAAGTGTCTTGCCATTTTCACTGTAAACAACAAAAAAAGTCTTATCGTGAAGTAAAAACGTGCTATCGTCTTTCGAGACGTCATCTGGTCATTTCTCTGAGGGAAGTAATGGCGGCTATAAGACCGATACAAATAAGTGCCTTTAGGTAGGGCTCTGCGTGTCTGGAGAAATCCGAAAAACTCCGAAAAACACTTTGCGCAAGCGTCGATTTTTACGGTCCAGTTTAGATCGAGCCTAGTGACTTTGGACACACTATATATACATGTAACGGTATAGATAAGGGGGCGAGTTGATACTTATTAGCACTGAAGCAGTGCAAATGCACACGGAGTCACGGACGAAGCAGCGTGTAAAGTTTCTCGCTTCGTCCGTGTCCAGTTGCGATGTTTCAATATGAGTATATGTGCTTTCCTTGAAAAGTATCAGACACAATGTTTTAAGTAAATACAGGTACATACTCATTGAATGTACTTACAGTAAAGTACAAGTCTTGTGAATCTACTTGAAATGCATTTCAAGCATAATGTACTTAAATTACTTTTCAACACTGCAAATATCAGCACATCTTTGTTGACGAAATAGTCTAATAGCCCTGAATTCAGAAGAATCGTTAACTCGCATTCCCACAAGGCGCGAAGGTCAGTGTCTTATGTAATGTCTGAAAAATCGTTGCACAGTAAGTAATACTTTTCACCAGTTTCGTCTGAGTTTGGTCAACGCTTTCAGCCGCGCTGGGCTGAGTCGTGCATGTCACGAAGACAAACGAAATGTAGGTATTGTCTTCCTGGCGACCATCTCATTTGCATTCAGGCACTAAAATATACAAAAGCCTTGGGCTGATTTTGCTCGCACACGTCTCTTGGTTAGTCCCGGTCGAGTGCAGTTAGTCTTCATGTTTTACAAACGGTACCTAGCTTGAACCAAATTGTCTCTTCGGGGAGCAAATAAGAGTTCAGAGGACCAAATGATGCACTTAGTCGTTTAAAACCATAATTTTGTGTCCCTAAAAAAATGTTAGTGTTTTCTTATTATTATTCATCTTAAAAATAAACTACGCATCGCTGAACGTTCACTCTCCGCCCAAATGTAGCTTTAGCGGTCTAGACCATATGCCCGAAGATTCAGGATTTGCTGTCATGTGGTTCAAGAGTTATGAGTTATAAGTGATTTTCAAAAGTTTACACTGAGAAAATGACGGCAGAAGGAGCCCACAAATTTATGAGGATGAATGGAAACAGCTACAGGGAACGGCCCCTACGTTTCAACGTTTCGAAAAGCCGGTCGTATTTTTTTTTTTTTTTTTAATAAGGTAACAGTTATTTCTGAAAGTTAGGTATTTTGTCTGGACCGCTAGTGCTACAGTTGGGCGGAAAGTGAGCGATTGACGATGCACAAATTATTTTCGCAGTAAAAAAGGGCCAGTATATTTTTATCAGGGGGAGAGAGAGAGAAAACCTTTATTTTCGCTCCGAGTCCGGAGCTCCTTTATCAGGGATATGCTGCATTTAAGCTATGCCACCCAAGCCATAATCATCGTATATACCTATCAAAGTCACAACAACGTCATAAACGAGCCTTCCTTGTAAGTATCACGCACGTTTGACCTCGGAAATCCCTCAAAACCTTCGCTCTTGTGAAATGCAGTTCCAGAATCACCGCATAGATGGCGCCAGCGAGAAAGTGTGTTCACTAATCCTAAGATATTTTAAGAGGTTTCAACAGACCTCGTCTCTCCCGGTCCTACTCGGTTGCAAGAGTGTGAACGGGCCTTCAGCTTCCCACGCTGTGGGAGATGTAACGCCACGTAACCTGCGCGATCTCTACACCGGTTCAGTTACCCCACTAAATTTGGCGGGGGAAAATTATGTCCCATTTACCTGACGTAATAGGATCCATGCACCAATTCAGTTTACCCGTTAAATATAGAAGTATATTCATTGACATATACGTAGTGCTTTATCCAACGAAGCGACCGTTTGATGTTTCCTAAATAGGTTTAAATAATCGCTCCTTAAATACTGCATTTTATTCATTGTAAAGCTTCAGAGATAAAGGTCGCTGCAAATTTTCATATTGTCCAAATATTGATAACAATAACAAATATAATTGTTTCACTCTAAAAGTAATCTCTGCGCTCTTCAATTCCGTGCATAGTGGAACGCATAACGCATCTGCTCTCGTCAAAGCTACGCTCTACAGAAAATGGTCCTCTACTTCTCAATATTTTTCAACCTTACATCCACCGCTCATATAAATTTGAAAACTACACCCTCCTAAATACTGAAGCTGATTGTTTCTTCTGATTTCAAAACTAGAGGTTACTGACACTGCATTAAGTTTAACTTAGTATCCGGCTGCTAACACGACGTAGACAGTTATGTAACTATATGTAACTTTGTACCTGACTTCTAATACGACTCAAAGTGCAATGCTTTTGCGAGATTATCGGCTGATTTTTATTCATGTTAACTAAAACAAGCAGTCGTAGAACACCGGGGTTAAAACAAACGTGGAGTCTCTTGGCCTTAATTGAAAAGTGTTTGAAGGCAATTTATTGCATTATCGAGAAACTATCGTTTGGAAATAGCCCAATTTTCTTCTCCCGCTTTCACGATTTCTCAGCTAACAGAAACAATAACAATTGTGCTTTTCCTCCTCTTTTGTATTGATCCTGACCGTTTCAACTTGAAGAAAAAGAAAACCGTACACTAGGTGAGTACAAATTTGGTTTAATAGCATTCGGATTTTGCTTAATTTCTCAATTGAATGTTTTATGGGGTATTTGTCAACCATGAAACGTTTATTAAGCTGTTTATAATTTTTTCACCATCCTACGTTTTAGATTCAGTGATAAGTGATACATCCCAATGCGCACCAGAAAAATATATAAAGTGTTCACTCAGAACAAATATAATTGTATTCCATATTCACTGTGACCTGGTACAGAAACGCAAATTACCTTTAAACTCGCCTAAAAATAGAGCAATATCACACGATTAAAAAAGTTTAGCTGATCAGCCATAGGCTATATTAGCCTGTGTTGTAAAGTATTTGAGTATAATATTGCATCTCAGCGGACTTATACGTTGCTGTATCTCAATTTATTTCTTGCGCAAAATAACATATCTACACCTATGGTGTCAATACTATTTGCTAATAATTCCCATGAGTTTTGAAGTGGCGTTCGAATATTTTTCTTTTTTCTATTTATATAATTATTTTGTATCTAGATGTTTTCCTATTAGTTTAACTAAATATGCAAAATGAACCTACCTGACATAATAACATTTAAGTGATTGCGATTGTACTATCGCAATCACGCCTAACCGTGCTTGCGACCGTTAGTTTTCTACCGCGGGACGCTAGGTCTCCGGCATCCAGTGAAACTAAGTGAGGTTGCATGATGCAGATCCACGTGCAAAAAAGATACGTGACAGCTACGAAGTTTGTGTATAACAAGCTCACGTTAAAAAGATCATTATGCTTTTGATCTTTCTCTCATTTGTGCCTTAGGTCACAGCTTTACGCTTTCTGATTTCTGTCAAAAAGATAAATTCGTAAATTTTTTTAACATTGTGAGAATTTAACAGAAAGTGAGGGCGCCAACAAGCTGGTGGAGATTACTAGATATAACACAACACCGAGACTACAGGCATCAAACACGACACACACACACACGCACAAAGTCTCTGGCACAACTACAATTTTATTTCACTTTAAAAGTTGTCACAAAGAAAGGCACAGAAAATCACAAAAGAAGGAAAACAATCACCTAACTGTCTCTCACACCGCGTGAATAAATGTTAGAATAAACATAAGGTATCTTCACGAAAACAGATTGCTGTTTAAGGAACCTTCGCTTGAAACTGGAAGAGTATTCACTCCTCCACCACACACAGCAGTAGGCTACCGCCCCCGTACATCAGCCTCCCAAATCGACGTCACTGTATATTTTCACCGACCGTTTTAGTCTTGCGTCCAGTGTAAAAAAAAAAAAAAAAAAACATTTGCAATAGTCCTTTTTGGTAAAGGAGAACTGCAATGGAACTTTAAATAAAAAGCTCGTGAAATTAACAGGTTTGACTGATTACAATAATCTCCAGGAATTTACCGTACTTGGACATATGAGCGACCATAGCGGAGCGATGAGCGGCAGCCCGGCTATATTTATAAACCAATTTAGCTGCCGAAGGGTTGGACGCAAGCAGATTATTGTCCTTCAATCATTTTAAAGAATGAATCTGCAGCGCTGCAAATGGCCATAACCGTCCAGGTCTGTTGGTATGAAGCCTCATGTGATGTAAAAACGGCTAACCATAATTGTTTTGCTGACATACACTATACAGCTCACAATTTAGATCAACCTTGAGTGTACTCAAGCCCGACCTCACACTCGAAAGCGCGATTGCAATTATTAAAGCTGCGGAGTCGTACGCTTAATATTGGAACGCCAATAAAAGCCCCGCATCTATCCCTTCTATTACGAAATAGGTTGGTTCCTTTATCCCTGATCCCGATGAACGACAACGCTCAAAGCGTCTCATAAAGGATTTCCTCCAATTCGGTCGGCGTTCCGCTGGGTAGCTCATATGTCCAGTGCTTCTTTTGTGATTTTTGTTCTGGGATATTTCTGACAAATGCAGTAACATCAATTATGTTCTGCTTTTCACGACTATATATTGGTAGAATATCCGCATAAAACTCCCGTCGTCAATTGTTATTTCTAAAATAATTGTTGGGGTGCTTCCTGAAGCTAAATTTTCTCATATTTGGATAATATGTATATTTATGTCAACTGCAGGTACTGACGATTTGATAGAAAGCTGACTTGCTAAAACAACACATTTAATTTATTCATTCGTTTACTTTAAAACTGTAAGTATAGAGCACACAAATGAAACACTAAGGTAGAGCAGTGATGGTATATATACCAGAAAAGAATACATGCATTAGTTAAAAGTTAACTTTGTTTTACCTTCTTTTGTGTTGTCTTTTGTGTGCGCTAAACTCGTTGTTTTAGACATTATCAGCCAACTAGCACAAGCTTCAGTATTAACAAGATCCATTCATTCATTCATTCATTCATTCATTCGTGTCTTCATTGATTAATTTAAGTTCTCAAGAGCTGCTAATATCTTAACGATGTACAATATATATATTAACAATTAGTCAATAACAACATAAATGTTTAAAAATTTCATAATTTGTCACATGGCCCGGTGCAGCGGCTATTGACGTTTGCTTAAATTTTGCAATATTTAAGTTTTTTCCATCCAATACCTTGTCTACCTGTTGTGCATCCTTATTTGGGAATTGGGTGATACTAGAAAGGTTAACTAGTTATAAAACTACAGCTATATGAATACGAAGTATTGTTTTGATATCCTTGAAAAGGCTGTAAGGCCTGCAAATGACGAAGTTGAAAATATCATCTGGAACGCCATAAAGATAACTCCATCTTACGACATCTCGCGATGGGCCTTCAACTCTATAGTAGATGACAGGTTAAGAGTTCAGAAAAAGCTCCTCCCACCCCTTTCCTCTTTAGCAGTGCTAACGCTGGAGAGGAGATTGCCTCGCCTCCAGCGTTCGCTCTGCTAAAGTGGAGAGAGGTGGAGGTGCTTCCCCTGATCTTTTAACCTGTCGCCGACTATAGGGAGTATTCACTGGACGCCATATTTGTGGGTTCTGTTTAGAGCGCATGCTCAGAACGAGCTCACCTCAATAGGCTGCTAAGAACGGCACTCTTGGTGGTGCGGAATACACGTTGCAAAAGAACTGTGGAACCTCGCCATCAGCACGCGCTCATCATTCATGCACACAGCTATGGCCGCCAATGAATACTCCCTATAAAGGCCCAACGACATGTGCGCGTTTTTTACGCGCTTCATCAGCGCTTCATTGTCCCTCCGCGTCAGCACGCGCCCGAAGAGAAAAAAGGCGGCTAATTCCATGGGAACGCGCTCCGGCCCGCGTCACTCAAACACTGCGCAGTGTCGCCAGATCGACCAGGCTTAAAACATCGGACAACAACCTGGTTACAGTATATTGGTACTGCACAAAGTTTATTTAGACATTATGAACTTTTTTTTTCAATGCTACGTCAGAGATAATCAACTGTCAATCCCGAAACAGTCGTGTATACGTCGTTGCATCTGCTGCAAAGAAAGGCATCTCGAAAATCAAGAGACGTCAAAAACTACGCACTAGCGCTCTCAGTAACTCCGTATGCAACTAGACAATTAAGATGAAGGGAAATTCAGCAATTAGTGCGATATGTACTAAATAAAAATTACGATATTCTTCCTGCTTTTGTATAAGCTTGAAGGTAGGTTTGTTCTATACGTTCAAAACTTCATATCTGCGTGCTTGAAAACTTAGAAAATTTGAGGAAAGCCAGAAAATAGTTATTGACCGAGAAGAGCGGCACAACAATAAACAAAAAAAAAACATTTTATTGCCCGCGTACTTTTACTGTTTTGCGTGTTTTAACCGCTCGTAAATGGGGCTCATTTTAAAGGCCCGTATATTCCGCAGATTATCAGTATTAGTGTCATCGGGAGGATGGCGCACCTTGAGCAAGCCCTACATTCTTGTCAGGTGTTATTTTTGCTTAGATTCCTCGCTTGTCTTTACATGCCTGAAGTGGGAAATAGGACTGTGCCCGAAATACTGCGAAGTTAAACATCGCTCACTGATCAGATATATACTGCAGCAATTGCACTTTTGTAATATTAATAAAGTTAACCTCTGCTATTCGCTGCGACCCAAGTAACAAATCTGATCCCGGTATTCTCCAACGAAGAGACAAAATGCATGCGCCTTTTCCCATGGGACTGCACAGCAACATCGCAAAAGTAGACTGGTTGCTGTCTGCTTCAATTTGAAACCGAAAGTCTTTTAGACACTAGTGCCAGCTGATCCTCTTGCGCTCACATTACAATAGTTCTATGGCCTCTGCCAGCTAGGCAAGCCACTGCCGGCATCGACGCTCAAGTCTGGCCATGGAGTTAATTTAATAATCTAAAGCGAAATGCCCATGCATGTAGTTCCGCTGCTTGGGGACGAGGAGGCATAGACACGGTCATCGGTGGTCTCCGTAGGACGATACTGCTGGCGTCACTTTGATATACACAAAGAACAAAAAAAAGCATCCCTTCCAAAGTCTGTATATAGTTTTTTCGATAGCTTTATTTTACAGGAAACACCTGCGTCGTGCGTTGGATAAAAATAAAGTTGACGCGCTCTCGTACAATTTCTACTCGTCGTGGCAAAACGAACATGCCAAACCTATCGCCTGCTTTCTTTCGTCGCGTTTTTCGCTCTCTTGTTTTTTGTTGTTTTTGTTTTTTTGTGGTGGGGGAATACTAATGTTAGCCTTCGCGATTTTCCGCGTTTTGCTTCTGTCCTTACCTCCTGGATTTGTTCGAGACGCAAATCGGCGCTTCGCGCACTACGCATTGTTGCGGGTGAGCTCGAGAGACGCGCCCCAACACGGGGGGACACCGACGCGGTTGAGATGCATGAAAACGTCCCATGTTGTTGGGACTTCCCTGGTCCTGAGGGCATCCAAAAATGAGAAAATATCGAAATTTATGTGTGTTTTGATTTGAAACTGTTATGGGCTTACGCAGCCTGTTGGCCGCTATGTTAGGTTTTTCGGCATAGATATTACTCCACTACAAAACTTTTTAGGGCACCCTCATTTATTTAACGCCATCTTTATCGCCATATTAGAACTACCATTTATGAAATGCAGGTACTAGCCACGTTGAAAGTTGTAGAGTATAGTGATATTGAGCAATCATGATCAATCAAGTAGTGCACAGCTCAAAAAAAGCCTCTAAAGAGCCTGAATACAAAATACATTTGTATTTTTCTGTATGTATTACCTGATTTCAAAATGTAAACGTCCTGCAAACATAATATGCAGTGATGAAAAAAAAAATATATGTGCGAAACCATTTTTAGTGCCTCTTATGTGGAACGTGTTTGCCATCACTCTTTCCAGGCCAGGATTTGCCATGGTATATCGGTAATTCGGAGCAAAAGAAACAATACATGATGAAACTCCTCAGTGCGTGCGGAGGACAGAGCCAAGAATACAAATTAAACGAGGTAAGTAATGTAAATCAGTCATACTATATGCCCAAAGAGCCCGAAATGAACTTTTTTTTCCGCTTTTTTGTTAAATTATGTTTCAACCTTTCAGAAACAAATATGGTTCCATAACTGCACATACATTTGTGTGAGAAGGAATACAGCCTTAACTTCTGAAGTTCGTCAAATCCCGGAGGGCATGATTTGCAACCGAGACAAAGGGGTAAGTAGAAAAGTGCAGTTCATAGTGACATACCTTTAACAGATTTCATAGAAGGGCAAAAAAACTAGTTTATTTTCCTTAAAAAAAAACTTCAAATGTGACCAAACCACAACTATTGTTTTTAGTACTTTAGGTCTAGCGTTATCCTTGCTGGTATTTTACTATCTCACCCAATAGCTACTGATCGGATGAAAGCGGTAGGGAACGAGTTTCAGTATTCTCGCCTCCAGTGCGAGCTTCCTACCTTCGATAATGCTTTGGCGTTTTGCGAGCCTCGAGCGTGCACGCGCAGCCAGAGCACGTTGGAAGGCAACGAGAGCATGCTGGACGCCCTCCATTCGAAAGAGGCGACCTACCCTTCTCATCCTGGCAATGACTTAGCTACTTCAGTGTGCACGCTCCACGGCCTGAATATTATTTCCTATTTTTTTTTTCAAAGAATAGAATAGTCTTTATTTTGATGGGCCAAGAGACAGCCCTCAGGGTAATGATTCATACCTTCTAAGGTCCCTATATACTGAAAGGTAGCGCAAGTCATTGTATGAAGTGGAGAAGAAATATTCCTCCTCTTCTATGCACTTTCCTTCTAAAAACAATTGCGTTTCCCCTCGCTTCAATTGGATCGGGCGCGACACTTGACCGTTACCTCCGCATAAAATGTGTATGAATAAACCAAGCTGCCGGCTTGTCAAAACGATCGGTAATGCTAAAAAGTGCCGAAAAGCGTTATGCTGTCTTTTATTTTCGTAACTCGAGTGATGCCGAGTCTGCAAAGGCACTTCTTTATAGACGTTTTTCGTTTACTTTCCTTCCCAGTCACGTGGGTTCCATAACTGGTATGCGGGACGTAAAAGTAATAATACATTTCAACCTAGAATATGCCACAAAATGGAGGTAGGCAACACAAAAATGTGTGACAATCACGCATTTTACGTGAACACCTACCAACGACGTGGACAGGTTAAAACGATGTTTTAACGCATACTGGTAGCGACGACATTCAAGATGGTTGCGCTCTTGTGGAAAATGTGTATAAAATGTTTTAGTAGATTCTGCGCTAAGGATTGCAGCATTGCGGGCCTTGCGGGCGCGTGCTCAATCCATGCTCGAATCGACGGCACGAACTTCCTCCAGCAAAGCGCATTCTGAAAAAAGGGGGTGTAGCCACTACACTCCTTGGCCCATATACGACAGACACCCCAATACTAAAATTCGAAGTACAGCGCACCGAAGTCGAACTGACTGCCCCAACGTTTGCGAAAAGGTTGATGACGGTGCGGTATTACATAGTAAACAGCTAAAGCACGTATCAAAGTCTACTTAAAAGAAACACAAAGGTTTTGCAGTAGTGCCAAAAAAGAACCAGTAACGGTTTTTGCAGACATTCACACCTACTTAAGCTATTTTAATAAGTTGTACAACTCGGCTATCAAGCCGCTTGTAAATTTTGGTAGCGTCGGTTCAACTTCAGTGCGCTGCACGTCCAACTGAAGTTTTGGGGTGTCGTATATGTGACAAGGGGTCTAAGAATATACCTCTTATTTTATTTTATTTTTAGTGTGCAGTCTTTCTCTACGATCTACAAAAACTGTCTATTTACACGCTGGAAGAGGTTCATTCTATTGTGTGCGTTCTCTCAGCCCTTGCTACAATATACGGGTAAACACCATATATTTTTGCAGTACGATTTCATGTTCCAATATACTCAGGCGTCAGGACTACACTGGCTTTTTTATTTTATTTTTTCATCTGCGTTCAGCGGAAGGGGAGAAAGCTTGTTTTTAGACTTGAGCGACTCAGACTCTGATCGCATTAATACATTTGCCGGTCGAGACGTCTTCCCGTGCTTTTTAACTCCAACAAAGGTGCACCAACGCTAGTTTATTCACGTTAGAAAACAGAACTGTCTTCAAATTAAAAAAAAAAAAGAATAATTTCTACTCCGCCGTATGCAATAGCAAACAAGTACGGCCCAGAACGGATAGGCGCGTGCCTACGCGCGCCTTCTTGGTATCCCACAAAAATGGCGGCGGGAAGGTTGGAGGGGGGGGGGGGGGGGGAGGGGAAGGGGGGGAGGAAGATCGTTTTCGACTTAAAGGACGCGAGGAGAGTGGGAGTTGCGCTACCTTTCGGTATACAGGGACCTTACTTCTAACCTGACACAGGCGCCACCTGGTGCCTGGCTCAAGTGGACTACATATCTTGTGACCCGTCAATATGTGTAGCTCTCGGTGCTCGTACCCACATCTAATTTTCTGGTTTTCTTGGACGGATCTTAGGAATTGTGGATCTGGCCGTATTTGAAGGACACATAATATTTTCTGTTTAGTTGGCCTTTAAATTTTTTGATGTTATGTAACATACAAATCGTGCATTCCTTCGGATTTCCTTCCTTTTCTTTGTCAAAGTAATCAAATACAATTTTTTTTTGTTGTCACAAAGTCTGCATTATCTTAAGTTCAGGATAAATAGAAATCTTTGCAACCTCGCAATGCTAGCACTTATGATAAAACAGATTAATATTCCGTTTTTGTCAAGATACCACATTCATACTTAGTTCGACGTGAGCGCGTTGGTGAAGTTAAATAAAAACAGAAGGAATAAACATAGGGACCTAACTTTTTATACAATTTCTAACATTTTAGAGTGAAATTCTTGCATGTTGACCGTATATCATTCTCGGCTACCATTGTAGAGAATAAGCTCTTAGTTACTATTGTAGAGGATGATGTCTTTCATCGATGCGGTGCTGTCAAAAAGAATTGGTGTTAATTAAAAACAAAATATAAATGTGAAGTTGGAGAGCAGGCCCCTAGAGCACTCAATCATTTTTTTTTTTACTTTTTTTGGGGTTACAAGTTTTTGCGCTAGACTTGTTCTGGTCTTATAACTCTGATAAGCGTTAAACATGGCGAGTGCTTAAAAAATAATACTTGCATTTCATCAAGAAAAGCACGGATTCTAGCTTGACTAAGGACTCCCAAAAGCTTCTGGTACCATGCATTCTGAGTTGTCTCCAAGTTTACACTCGTACGGTGATGTGTTGGATTGTTCCTGAATTGCTTGGTCGGTGTTCGCTCTTACTTGCCCTTTCATCAGAAGAGGTGGTGGGTTTCCGGTAAACAGTGATTGACAATGGCGGATGGCAAGGGTATTAAAACGTGATACAGGCACGTGACGCAACCTCAGCGGGAATCACATTAAGGCACCTTATTCAACTACATAGGGCAAGTCAGTTATTTCGTCAATTGAGAGAGATTTTGCAGATCATGTTACACCAGCTGTTCCTACAATTAAAATCATTTGCAGCGGATGCTTCTTACTCAAGTTTTCCCACTTGCTTGTAACCAGCTAACCCCTGAAAAACAATTAACTCAGCGTTCGACCCCATGCGTAGAAGATTAAATTATTCAAGAAAACTTGATACGATACTAATTCGTATAAAGTTAATGTAAAAATTGTTTCAACTAACTGTTTCAGACATGCCCCAAGGAAGGAAACTGCCCCTTGCCAATGTGCTGAAATAGGGCTCTTGAATGAAAAATGAGACTGCCCAGCTGTCTCCCTACAAGTCTGCTAAATAAAAGCCCATTCTAAAAAAAGCGTGCGTACGTGACTCAACAATTTTCGTAATGTTAAACAATAAAGTAAAATAACCTTCAACAAGGGCCCACGAGCCAGCGCCGGTAGGATTGTTTCTGTTATTTCAGCTTGACCTTTCTCTTTTTAATAAATGGGGCTTTACGAAAACAACCTTACGGCACACCCCACCAAAAAAACCTAGAATTAAATTAGAACCCCTAGGGATTTTTAATCTGAAGCGGACGTTAACTCTTTATGATTTCATTGGAAAAAAAAAACACTTCATATTGTTAACACCACGACTTGAATTCGAAGCCACCTTGTAATTCGTTGCACGGCACTTAGCCTTAGAACCACCGAGATAGCTAGCAAATAAAATTAATTGCTGCTCAAGGACATTTTTGAATACTAGAAAGAATAAAACATAAAGGACGGACAAAACAAAAGATGTTTTGTTTTGTCCGTCCGTCATGTTTTATTCTTTCTAGTATTTAACTTTATCACAAACGCGCTCTACAAAAAGGAGATTTTTAAAAGCTCAGCTTTTTGCCCACCTTGCTATTAAAGTGTAACAAGCTTTAAACATTCACTGAACATCTAATACGGCTTGAAAAAAAAAAGCCTTGGATTTTCATTGCCGGCTCAAAGTACAAGGCCGGCAGTAATTTTTAGATTTTAGACAGTTTCATTTACAAATACGGAACGAATACCATAGCCGGTTTATAACTAAACAGATGTGTAGGAAATATTGAGAAACTATTGCAACAACGTAACTAATCGTTTATGTTTATATTCTTCCGCGCAACGGGGTTATTTTTTGGGAAACCTGTACAAAAGCCATGTTTGCTTCCACTAGAGCAGTGGTTCCCAAACATTGATGTTTCGCGGACCCCTTGTGGATCGGCGGAGATGATGAGGGATTCCGTTCGTAGTGAGGGGAAGTGAAATGTATTGGTTAATTATAATAATGATAATAATGATTTAATAAATAACATAGATAAGGGATACTGTGAAGTATATTTCTGTCATTGACCTACACACGAGAAAACTTACCGGAAAACTAGAACTTTCTCCCCAATCTGAAGGAAAAAAAACTTTTATTGTCGAGTTCGACTGATGAGGCCTTCGCGTACCCTCATTTGAGAACTACTGCACGAGTGGAGAGTTAACAATTGCGTGTGTGAATCTACGTCTTTAAGTACCAAATAAGTTATGCCTACCCCCACTAACCGTTTGTGCATCGGTATATAAACCTTAATGCGATTATCAGCAGCATCTTTAATTCTGGGAAAGGGCAGCTCCTTGTTGCCCTTTCCCAGATCCTCTCCCACCGCCATTTTTTCCCACTTCTTATTTCGCTAAACGTAAACAACGTTGAGTTTCAGTAGTCTCGACACACCGGCAACACTGTGAGGCCACTTCCGTTTCCGTTCATAAGAGGAGTCGGAGGCTCAGCGGTATGGTGGTGGTCGTGGCTGTCGCTCTCTTTATTCGGGTGTTTCATATATTGAAGTTGCGAGCAGGAAGTGTGCGTTACTTTTATCGAAACGCGAGTTCCCGCGACAAAATGGAGCGCCACAGATCGGGATTGAGCGCCGAAACCTCGCCGTCGGAACAAGAGTGGTGAGCGCTCCCTAGCCCTTACTAGGATTAGCAGCGTAGTCCGAGCGCACGACCGGCGAGTGTGACAAAATGGTCGACGAAAACAGCGGAGGTTGCCATGGTAATGAGGTAGGCAACACTGGTTTGTCGGCAACAGGTATCACGAACGTTGTCGCCACCCTAAACAGCGGAGCGGCGGAAACATGTAGGCACCCTAGTTTAGTTATGGTCAAGATTGAAATGACTCAGCTAAGCATCATGCCCGGTACCACAGAGTGTCACATCGCCACCATTGTGGGTGGCTAGAGCTGCTTAGACGGGATTACCGCAGCTTTCCAGCACATGGTTTTGAATTGGACGTAGGTCCTTGAAATCTGAAGTTTAATAAAAAAAATACGCTATACCGGGGTAAAAATATGCTGTGTAATTAGGTGATGTGACCTGACTAAACATACAAGCATTAAAGAAAGAATAAAAAAACTTAGCGACAAGGACGGGCACCACAGTTTTTTCAAGAAGCAACAAACATTTACTGATGTATCCTTCAATACGTACGATATCCCTCTTAACTTATTAAACTGAAAAATATACATGAAAACAAACACCAAGAGAAAGACGAAAATCACTCAAAATAAAAGTAAAATAAACCAGAAGATAAATAAAAAATAGAAGGAAGACGAAAACCATTGACAAATTCAGATAGATAAGCCCCTTCACTAATTCAATTCTGGCTTCAGGTAGTTCATCGTAACCTTAAATAACCCAAGAGGAGCAGCGATATCTGTTAGCCACCAGCTATCCTGTAGGCTTCAATAGTCTTTCGGCCGAACTTATTCTTGTGTTTCCCAATTATGCTGGTGTCCTGGAAACGAGTTTCACAGTTCGTGCAGAGGCGTTTTTGCACCACAATCGGATCATACGATTCGCTTGAAGCACGGAAAACCTCGAGGATGTGCTCTTTTAAGCGGTTGTTCAGGCAACGCCCTATATGACCAATGTACCGATCACAGCTTCAAAAAGGGGATGGTGTACACAACCCGCTATTCACAGGGAACGGTCTGATTGGAATGTTTGATGGCACATCCTTTGGGGGCTTCGTTGTTGTTAACACTTCTGCAAATCTTTTTAGGCGCAACTTGCAGAAGAAGTCAATTGGAGTGTTGAAGTGCGCTGCTGTTCCCTTCAGTCTGAGTGCAAAGTTGTGCACATATGGTATGAAGATGACAAGTGAAGCTTTACTACATGGAGCACGGGGCATCTGGGGAGATAAAATTAGCTGAACAAGAATTGTACTCAGTAGATCTAACGAATATCCAGCTTTGAGAAGTAGGTCTTGTTGTTTTGCAGTGCTTAAGCCAACAAAGTGAAAACAGAATTTGGCACGAAAAGATGAAAGGAGGGACCGAACAATTTCATATTTCACCAGTTTAGTATGGGAACTGCAAAATGAAAGAACTGGTTTTCGAGACCGTTGTTGGAAGGCCCAACAAATGCCGGACGGAAAAAAATGTAGACCAAGATCAAAATACTGGAGTCTGTCGCCCTGTCTTATCTTGTGAACTTCAGACCTGAAAACGAAGAGGTAAAGGCGTGAACTACAGAATCAGGCGAAACGGAGATTGGGTGAATGACTAAATAATCACCCACATAACGATAAACATGGAATATGTGTGTCAACTCTTCAAGACGTCCTTTGATCTCCTGGTCAACATGCTGGACAAATATTTTTATGAGTACCGGGGCGAGGCAGGAGCCAATGCAGACACCTTTCTTTTGCCTAAGAATTTCCTTTCCATGTTCGGCCAGTGTATATTGTAGATGTAGGGCTAAAAGATCTAGGAAATCTCGTTTAGATGCTCCAGATAAGTTGTGAAAGTCCTGTCTGTCAGACACCCCAGATGAGCCTGAAAGTGATGTCTGTGTTGTCTGTCCTCGTCCCTACGTGTTTTTATTATTACTTTAATTCTTGTATTTTCACCAACCCGCTCTTTGTTTTTTGACTAAACATACAACAACAAATGTCCAAACAACAAAAATGCAGGGCGTAATTCAAGAGCATCTGCTCAATTTCACACGGACTCTGCATGACCTGTCAAAAATATTCCGTCATGCCACTTATTAACCAAAGCTCAAAATAAAAATGGTTATCAAATGTTGTGTTTAAAAACTATCTAACCCTTGAAAGTAACCTTGTAGACAGCTTGTTCACAATAAATGTTCTCGTGAACTTGTGCTACCAGATATCTTACGTCATTGTATATAATGCCACATGGTATTTGCAAGCTTTTCTTTTTTTAGAAAAGAAGACACGATGATAAAATGGTTTAAACGAGCTTCAGGCCTTCTCACAAGGGTTACCGTTCGTTGAGAAGCGACATTTTAAATAAGGTGAAACTGCGCGTTGGGGCTGTCAGCACATCGAAAATAGATTGTTTTGCTCCAAGGACTTTAGTATCCCGGATTAACCTTTCGGAGGGATATACACAGGGTGTTTCGCGAGACGATGGCTTTATTACTCGTAATATGAAACACTGATAGGTAGTATACACACACAGATTTCAGCTTTTAATGCGAAAGCATTAACTGTCTCATGGAGCGAAGCCGGCGGCGTCTGTAGCAGTTGTCTGTAGCAGCGAAAAACGGCACCTGAATACGCACTGGCTGAGCGAAACGACATTTAAAGTGACATTGTGACGCGTCATATCAGATGCTTCGTCACGGAAGCCGGCAGGGCCGCTCGAGGTCAAAGCGGACGCGCCTCAGAAAAAACAAAGCACGAAGAAAAGCACAGCAACGCAGATGCATCGTCACGGAAACCGGCGGTCCGCTTACGGTCAAAGCGGACGCGCCTCTACAATAAAACACAAAGAAAAGCACAGCAACGCAGATGCATCGTCACAGAAGCTGTGGAGCCGGCGGGCGCGCCGCGACAGCACAGTGAGGGAGCGTGATCTCACCGCCGGAGAGCCGTCTGAAAAAGAAATGCGTGGCACGCTTCGTGTAGGAATGCTGTCGCATTCCTACACGTAAGCAGCCTTAAGTGTCTCGAATTTTTTAATGTCAATCGTTTGCATCTGGAGACCAGGCAACATCGGCAGGATACTGGTGTAACTAGCCCATAGGAATCAGATAATGGTGTCTGAAACCACGTGACCAACGGGACTAGGGTCACTTAGTTGAGCGCTCTGTAATTCTTGCTGAGCTCTGCTAAGCACGTGCTGACGACGGACTTTTAGTTCTTCTGCAACGTGCATACCACACGATCAAGATTGCCGATTTCAGCAGCCTATTGATGTAAGCTCGTTCTGAGTGTACGCTCTAAACACCGCCCTCAAATA